CTGACGCAGCTGCTCTCTCCCTCCCTCACAAGTCATCCCTCACACCGGTTCCTCACACTCACTGCTCTCAAGTTTTCCCTCCGTCACCACACACACACCATCCGTCACCACACACCGCCACTTCTCACCATCTGTCACCTATGCCACGAGTTCATCATCATCATCCAATCGACCGCCTCAACAACAAAGCCACCAAGTTGGGCAACAGCACAAGACAGTTCCCCAAACCCAACTTAAGATGCCCCTCCCCCCGGCTTACGACACTCTACCCACAACACCTATAATACTTCCTGACGGTGCAATCATCATTATAGAGGTATGTAGAGGCGTGTTGACATATTCTTAGCCTCTATAACAACAGGCTAGAGGGCGTATAATTGAGCGTATTGTCAAGGGTTCTCGATTATACAACCTCGGTATTGACGGACCACAGACCTGACTCACCAACCATTACATAACACGGATGTAAACAAAGAATATTGCTACCACCTTGACCTTCGCCTCTCTGGCTTTGACCCCTGACCCTATCCTACCCTGATCTTGACCTCTGAAGTAATTTCTCTCAATGACCTTGACCTACCTGACCTTTGACCTCTCTTAGAACTGAATGACCCTCTACCTCTTGACCCAGTATACTACCCCCAGTTACTGAACAACTACGAGAGGTGTTGAGGTGCTCGATACACAGAACAGAATAAATTAAATCGAACGAAATGCAATGGTAGGTTAGGTTAGGTTTTTTGTGCTGACAGACAGACACACAGTTCCTGGTTTAAGCGATACCTGTGACTGGTTTTATACAAGTGGTGCCAAAGGTAGCATGGTGAGGTACAGGTGGGGGGATACCTGTGTAGGGGGGAGACACGACCACCTCACCTGTGCTAGTAATAGTACAGGTACAGTATGTATGCATGTGTGTGTGTGTGTGTGTGTGTGTGTGTGTGTGTGTGTGTGTGTCACAAAAACAAGTAACCACAACAACAACAAAGAAACAAAAGATAAACAAAAATCTACTCCAGTATTTAATCTAACCTAATGAGGCCCGCACACCTGTATACCTGCCTCAGTGACGGCCAGGTGAGGTACACGGACTGGGTCAGTTTTATAGTAGTGAAATTCTCTTAACATAATAGTGTGTGTGGTTCACCTAGTTCCTGGTGGTGTGGTTGTGGTATGATGGTATGATGGTGATAGTGTGGTTGTGGTGGTATGATGGTGATAGTGTGGTTGTAGTGTGGTTGTGGTGGTGTGGCTGTGATGGTGTGGCTGTGATAAGAACATAAGAATGGAGGAAACTGCAGCGGGCCTATTGGCCCATACTGGACAGTCCCGTTTACACCCAACCCCTATTGCTCATATAAGCATCCAACCTATGTTTGAAGCTATTCAGCGTATTCGAGTTAATGATGATATTTGGTAACTTGTTCCATTCATCCACTACTCTTGTTTCCAAACCAGTGTTTACCTATTTCACGCCTAAATCTAAATGTATGGCATGGCTGTGGTTATGGTGGTACAGTGTAGTTGACTATGTGAACGAGGTGAAGACTAAGCTGTTAGGTTTAGGTTGGGTCACACAGGTACCTAACACGACACACTAATCAACGTCATAGTGGACAAGACCCACCTCATACTGACGTCATTGAGTGTACGAACCAATCAGAGCGTGTCATGACCCGTATACGAGTGGAATCTGACCAAATCATGTTAAGCGGCCCCCTGGTTCCTACCAAGACCAGCGTGTCAGGTGTGTCAGGTATATCAGACGTGCCAGGTATATCAGGTGTCAGATATGTCAGGTATATCAGGTGTGTAATATGAGTCAGGTATATCAGGTGTGTAATATGAGTCAGGTTTATCAGATGTGTGTAATATGTGTCAAGCGTGTCAGATATGGCAGGTGTGTAATATGTGTCAAGCGTGTCAGGTGTGCCAGGTGTGTGTCAGTCACTGGGATCCACTACTACAGGTTTTCCCAGAGTTGATGTGCTTTAAATGCTTCACGGGAGGGAAGGTTAGGGAAGGGTGGCAAGTTTAATATATATTAGTTCCGGGTTTCCACGATTCACCTTATCTTCCGGGTTGTGTGGTTGATGGATTGTTTATGGTTGTGTGGTTGATGGATTAAGGTTGTGTGGTTGATGGATTGATTAAGGTTGTGTGGTTGATGGATTGAGGTTGAGAGCCTTTGTGTGGTTGATGGCGTGAGTTTTGTTGAGGATTTTGGTTAATTCACCCAAGTTCGCCTTCTACCACCATCTCACCACACACTTACCACCACCAAACCCTCACCTACTCCCTACCATGCAATAAACGCGACGACATTTGTGGTCGGTGGTCAATTACCGTGAGTATTGGCCGCTTCCACCAGTTCACACTCAAATTGGCCAATCCACTGTAGGACCGCTTGACTGAACAGATTATGACAGTGGGTTACAGATCAAACATACTTTATACACCGCCTCAGCTTAAAGAAATCGTTCAAAAAGTAATCGAATATTTGGGGTGGCGTATTTTCTACCTGTGTGACCTAAGTAAAGAATATCACCTGTCTGAATGATCGTTTGTGTACCTGGTAATTCGTCTACCTGTTCCCACCTCCAGTGAATCAGTCTATTAATACAGTATCGTTTTATCTGTCTAACTAGAGCGAAGACAGAGAGACCCACGGAAAGGCGGACAATCGGTCATTCAGGGAGGCGAGGTACGCGGTATCAGAGGACCATTGAAGACGTGGGTGGGTGAGACGGAGGCTGCCTGGACAGTCATACCGTGACAGGCTTTCGAAACTCTTAACACGGGTTATTCTAAGTTCGGTTTAGAGCCACCTTAAAGAAAAGGTATTCCAGCCCTGCCCCCCCCACACCCCACCTTGTCCTCCAGACCAGCGTCACCACATTCTTCACCATCCCCACCACCACCATTATTCCAACACAATACGGAGGAGGCCTTTATGGGCGGCTCATCTCCTGCTGGTGATGAAAGATACACCTTCTGGCCATGCCACCACCCCCCACCCCTATTTCACAAACACCCCCCCCACAACACCTCCCTACCACACACCCCCCACAACACCTCCCCTACACACCCCCACAACACCTTCCTTACACCTACCACACCCCCCACAACACCTTCCCCACCACACCCCCCACAACACCTCCCCTACCACACCCCCCCACAACACCTTCCCCACCACACCCCCCCACAACACCCCCCACCACACCCCCACACCCTCCCCCCACACCCCACAACACCTCCTACCATACCCCCCCCACAACACTACCCCACAACACCCCCCTACCACACCCCCACAACACCTTCCCCTACCACACCCCCCCCCACAACACCTCCCACCACACCCCCCCACAACACCTCCCCACACCCCCCCCCACAACACCTCCCCTACCACACCCTCCCCACAACACCTCCCCACCACACCCCCCCCCACACACACACCTCCCCACCATACCACCCCCACCAACACCACAACACCTCCCCACAACACCACCTCCCCACTGTTCCCCCCACAACACCTCCCTACCACACCCCCCACAACACCTCCCCTACCACACCCCCCTACCACACACCATCAACTAACAACAGCACAGCGTTAACGACACACACTCTCACTCTTAAACCTTACACACAGAGGAAGATTTGGTCAACACTTACACGAGCGTCAAATACCTAACAGAAAGACTGATACAGACTGACAAGAAAAAAAGGTTCACATCACATCCTGGGTAATGACTTGTGAAGCGGCGAGTCACTGTCAATGAGTCAGTCTGTCATGTTACTTACAGACAGACAGACAGACACACACTGTACGCACACACACACACATATCCAACAAGACAAACACACACACACACACACACACACACACACACACACACACACACACACTGTACACACACACACACGTTACCGTATGACCTAACTCACTGATCCACTCATTTCGTGTGGCCTCTGTTAAGTCTGTCTATATCCAATGACAGTGACATATTACATTACTCAGACAGACAGAAGAGACAGCTATTACACTCCCGACAGACATACAGACAATCATTACAAATATCTAAAAATTCTAGACAGTCATTCTCTTCTCAAGCATCCCCCACAGAGTTGACCCAGGAACACAAATGACCACAAGAAACTGGCAGACTACACTGACCTGACCTGACCTACCTGGCGGTGACACTGAGGGCTATACTAAACTGACCCAAACAGGAACCGTGTGCGGGTGGCTGTACACACACACACACACACACACACACACGTACGTTTCTATCTCCAAACAGTTAACAGTGGAAACCGTTATCTATGGTGCTTCAGAGGACGGCGGGCAAAGGTACGGTGGGCAAGGGGGGTGGGCAGATACGGTGGGCTAACCAATAACAAACCTCCTATAAGCCTCACTGGTAACCCACCCAGACACATTCCAGATCTCAGGTGATAGGCGGTGGGAAAGGAGAAGTATACAGTGGGTAGGTGGGTGGGTGGGTGAGGTGAAGAGTGGGTTAGTGGGCAGGATGAGGAGTGGGTGGGTTGAAGGGTGGGTTAGTGGGCTTGAACAACATAATGTAGACACCTGATAGAAGTTACAGCCTCACCTTTCCTTATCTCATTTTAATTAAGGTCCCTGTACCTGAAACACACACCTTGTAGAGAGAGAGAGAGAGAGAGAGAGAGAGAGAGAGAGAGAGAGAGAGAGAGAGAGAGAGAGAATAAATTGGTATTACAAGCTGAAAGAAAGAAAGAAAGTAAATCAGGTGAAGTTTATAAAGAACAGGTAACAAAATTCCCTCTCACCTGACACAAAACACACACTCACCTGCCTAGCTTACCTGTCGAGGAGTGATGGTGACATTCACTCCTGTTGTTGTCAATCAGGTGAGTGGTTGGTGCTTCCTTAAATTGGGGGAGAGAGAGAGAGAGAGAGAGAGAGAGAGAGAGAGACGGGTCACAGGTACACAAGAGGTAATATTACTTATACTCACTTAATCTTGCTCCTGTTGGGATCCCTGGAGCCAATGTACACAGTCACGCCAGAGTTGACCATCCGACGAGAGATGGCTCGCCCGTAGTCCCCTGACCCCAAGACCGCTATCACCTGTACACAGACACACATACAGACAGTTGTTAGTGTAATGTCTTAAATACACCGTAATATACCTGTACTGTATATATGTCTTGACCTAACACCACAGAACACAAACATATCAGAGGACTATATACAGCACCTCAAACTACACCACTATAGAAACACACACAGGAAGGAATGCCGTGACCAATAAACAGAGGTGACACACTCACCTTATCGGGGTCTTGAGGCGCCTTCCGCTTCCCGTCAGACGATAAACCATTGGCGGTGCCATTAACCCCCAGGGGATCAGACCCGTCCGTCCCGAATGACATGTTATCCATTCTGTAACGAGGAGAGAATGAGAGGTTAGTGAATAGTTAACGAGCTGTAACTCTGGTATAACTCACGCCAAAAAAAGTATCGACACGCAGTCAACAGGATGTACGTTAGGAATCCACCACACCCACATCGATACAAAACGGGTATACCTATAGCCACGTTGAGGACGGATTAAGCAGCATCCATCTCCACTATCCACATCCAAGTAAAGATCATCCAGCTAATCTATTTATCCGTGTCACTGTAACATGCGTTTTTATTCTTGGTAAAATACTAATGAATACAGAGCTAAATGTGTGTGGGTTACAGGTGTAGGTGTGTAGGTTACAGGTCGAGGTGTACAGGTTACAGATCAAGGTGTACAGGTTACAGGTCAAGGTGTACAGGTTACAGGTCGAGGTGTACAGGTTACAGATCAAGGTGTACAGGTTACAGGTCAAGGTGTACAGGTTACAGGTCAAGGTGTACAGGTTACAGATCAAGGTGTAAGAGACAACTAATGAACAAGTTAAAGAGCATCGTGGCAGGCAGATGTAGCAGGCAGGAAGGCAGGCAAACACCATGACACAGAGGTACATATATATATATTGACCGTGCCAATGTGAAAGTTTCTAGTGTGTGTGGCTCTGTTCTGGAGAGTAAACATTGCATAACTCTCCCCTCTGCCTGTCTGCTTTATATAAGAACTTGGCCAACTCTAGGGAGGGGGGTGGGAGGGGAAAGGAAGGAAAGAGGGAGGGGTAAAGAGGGAAGGAAGAAGGAATGAAGAGGGAGAGGATAGGAAGGCGGGCAAGATGGAAGGGAAGTGGGTTAGGTTAGGTAGGATAATAAAATAAGGGCAGCGCTTGACGACCTTATTGTAATATCCACAAAGTCGTCAACACAGTGAGAGGATAAGAGCCAGTGTGGGTGTCCCTGAAGGTGGCTGCTGGGGGGCAAGATTCATCCCGACATCCTTGAACCATTTAGGGAGTGTAAGGTGTCCCTCCCTGTCCTCACACACACACACACACACACACACACACACACACACACACAGCTAGGACAGAAAAAAAAATAAAAATAAATAAAAATTACGACTCATCCATGAAAAAAAAATAGCCAAACTTTTAAGTACGTGTGAAAAGTGAGATAAAAAAACTGACCAATCACAATCATCTCAGCCTATCAGTGACGTCACAGGCGGGCGATGATTGGCTCGCCAGATACGTACAGGTAAACAAAGAGGACACCAATATCGTCAGCTGATTTCTGTCTGCGTCTGTCTGTCTGCGTCTGTCTGTATGCCCTTCTGTCTGCGTCTGTCTGTATACCCTTCTGTCTGCGTCTGTCTGTCTGGTGGATAATCCGAAGAAGAAATATGCCGGGGTGGGGTCAAGACTTGGATCCACACAATAGCTCACGAACAAGACAAACCCGTGTGTGTGTGTGTGTGTGTGTAAGATCCACCTGACGGAGGCCCACGAACGACATGATATTCCTCCGTCAGAAGCGGGTCAGTCAAGTCAGTCAGTCATGAACGGCTTAAATTACTCAACTGGAAATAGTGTTTTTTTTTTTGTATAGACGGACGTAAGACTGGATGTTTGGTTAGGGTATGGATTGAGTTACACGTTAGTGGAGTAATACTGAGAGTGGTGGTGGGGGGACGTATCACCCTCCTGGCGACCCCACCCCCTTCCTCCCTCACCCTGTCTAGTCTCCCTCAATCATCCATACCCTTAATTCACCCTCTCCTCTCCACCCTACCTCCCTCCCCTCATCATCCTTCCAGCCTCACCCCTTAAAGAACATCCTGTATCATCCTCTTTCACCCTCGTTATCATCCTACCATCAACCTACCCCTTTCTCACCCTCACTAGCCTCTTTGACCACTAAACCCACTGTCCTTCCTGACCCTCGACCCACCCTTAACCACCTCCACCCCACCCACATGAAGTTACCCTCTCGTCACACCAAGACACCCACCCCCGCGTGTGTGTGTGTGTGTGTGTGTGTGTGTGTGTGTGTGTGTGTGTATGTGTGTGCCAGACCAGATAACCTTGATCACGCAGTGGAGGCTTGCCTGTCCCTCTTACCTGTGTGTGCTGTAGTTAATTAATCTTTCTTAAGTCAAGAGTGAATTTAGAGTCCAATGAGGCTTTAGGATTCCAATGGGTCTGGGGTCAGAACCACAAAGTCTAAGTAACCACAGTGAGTCAGTTTCAAGCGTCAGTGAGTCAATCTCATTGGTTCCCCCCCTCCCCCATACACCTTTCCTTCCCTCCTCCGTCGACCCCTCACCCCCTCCCTCACTTGAACTCTCTTACTCAACATTTACTGAAGGAAAACTTTCTCCCGGTATGCTGTGAGGGGCCCCAGGGTGTGGTGATCTGAGGGACAGTGTGTGTGTGTGTGGACTGAATAACCTCACCACCACAACACTGTAGCTATCGTGTGTTGAGTCCTTGATAATAAATAAATAAATGTAAACACGTCCATCAACACGCCCACAAACACGCACAAAGGAGAACAAAAAAAATCCTCTGAAAATCAATTCCTCCTTTGTTATTTTGTTAGTCTTTTGTTGACACGGCGGCTGTATCCTTGACTGTGGTGGGTGATGACTTGTTCACTCACTCGCCCCCTGGTGCTATGAACCCGGCAACAACTGAGGTGATATTTATGACAGCTTTTGTGTGCACGTGTTTGGGAGAGAGAGAGAGAGAGAGAGAGAGAGAGAGAGAGAGAGAGAGAGAGAGTAATTTACATATGCTTGACAGTTTACCCGAGTTGACATACCAAGGTGCATATCTAAGCGTCGGGACTTTCAAAACTTATTAAGCTTCTGACAACCTGTAGTATGTATCTATGTCCACTGTATAAAGGTACACTTAAGTCTCTCCTCTTCAAAGTGTCTCATTAACCTCACCGCAAGTTGTCTTAGAGATTAATTAAGACATTGATATAAAAACAAGGTGGGGTATACACTGGAGAGGTCAGCCTTCGTTCTGCCTCCAGTCCTGGTGAACTTTCTTAAAACGGGGTCGGTAAACAGTAGGCCAGATGCCCTTGTCAAGATCTAATATTTAGTAACGGGGTCGAGAAATTTAGGCTAGCTAACTGTATCCAACTTCTTTTTCACCACTAGTGCAAAACAAGATAACTGTACCCACACTCTTGATCAATAAACTACAGAACAAGAGAAGCTGTATCCACTGTACCCACACTCTTCATTCCCTACTACAAAACCTTCCTCTCTTACGTTAATTAATCTTCAAAACACACCTTAATCTAACGTCTCTTGGGGTCCTGTGTGTGATTGGCTGACCTGGTGCAGTTAATTAAGGTAAAGGTGTTAAGGTAAGTACCTGGGGTCATTTGGGTTAGGTTAGGTTAAGGGGTATTGTGTGTTGGAGAGCCACGCCCACAAGAGGCTTTGACCTGACTGGTACGCCCACTACACGTTTACTTCCAGGTCAGGGCTAGGAAGGGGTGAGGGAGGAGGGGGTGAGGGAGGAGGGGGTGAGGGGTGAGGGAGGAGGTGGGGAGGAGGAGGTGAGGGGTGAGGTGAGGTGAGGAGGAGGGGTGAGGAGGAGAGGAGAGGGTGAGGGAGGAGGGGAGGAGTGAGGAGGTGAGGGAGGAGGGGTGAGGAGGAGGAGGGAGGAGGGGTGAGGGAGGAGGGGTGAGGGAGGGGGGTGGAGGGAGGAGGAGGTGAGGGAGGAGGGGAGGAGGAGGGGGTGAGGAGAGGGGGAGGAGGGGTGGGAGGAGGGTGGGGGAGGGAGGGAGGAGGTGAGGGAGAGGGGGGGTGAGGGAGGAGGTGAGGAGGTGAGGGAGGAGGGGTGAGGGAGGAGGGGGTGAGGGAGGAGGGGTGAGGGAGGAGGGGGTGAGGGAGGAGGGGTGAGGGAGGAGGGGTGAATACTCTGCGGAATGATGAGTAGTGTGTATGTATATGTATGAATATTATGTATTCTGTTCATACACGATCGTTCCCTTGACTTACATCACACATACACACCCTCAACACACCCTCACACACACTCAACACACCCTCACACACCCTCACGTCACGACAGGACAAATAAACACGGCAGCAGTTGGCCTTGATAAGGTTCAGGTGAGAGACGTTACCTGTAATTAGACCGACGACGCCATTGTTGGGTCATGAACGCCGCCAATTTAAACCAACTTTAAGCAACATTTATCCCTTAATGATGTCACGGTCTGGTGGCTGACAGTCTGTGGCGTCTCTCAGCACTGTCACAGGTGTTACTATAACCTAACCTTAACCTAACCTAAACCAACCTAACCCTAACCTAACCTAACCTAAGCCTTTTAATACTAGGTGAAAAGACGACCTAAAATAAATCCATATCACAAATACTCTTGAGCCTCCTAGAAAAAAATTCCAATACCCCTTTTTATTCCTAGGAGAGGGAAGGACCGAGTATAGTGCGTCTTGTTATACGTCCTCTGAACCTCCTAGGAAAAACATATAGTACCGGGAGTTATTTTTTTCCCAGGAGAAGAGACGATCGATGATAATAATAGGTCTTATCACATAACGTTCACAACATCCTGGAGATAAAAACTTGAACACAGTTTTTGTTTCACTGATTATTATTTTAAGGATCGTGAGAGAGAGAGAGAGAGAGAGAGAGAGAGAGAGAGAGAGAGAGAGAGAAAATCATTGACTTTCAACCACAATTTTATACCACAGGTGAACTTAAAAAGAGTCGGATTTCCTGGCCAATTAGTTACTCACACACACACGATGATTCAGACAGGTGTGTGTGAGAGAGAGAGATTCCGACGCCTCTGTGGTAATAATCTACTACCTGAGAGAGAGATACATGACGTCACTACTCCCAGGAACAGATACATGACGTCACGACTCCCAGGAACAGATACATGACGTCACGACTCCCAGGAACAGATACATGACGTCACGACTCCCAGAAACAGATACATGACGTCACGACTCCCAGAAATTTGGAGAAAATATCGCCAAACTTTCAGTAAAT